CTTAGGCTTTGGCCTAGGCTAAGGCTATGTATGGCCTGAAATCCCGATGGAGCATGCGTTGGACCCAGCAATTGGACCAGACCAAGTCGAGTCGTAATAATAGTTTAGTCAGTCAGGCAGTTTTTGCTTCTTTTATCACCCGTCGCGTGCTGCTCAGTGCACTTTTTAACCTTTGTTGGCGTCCGGGATGACAGGCTGAGAGTCGATCGAGTCAATGATGGCCAGTCCCTTTCACCTTCAACCAGTTGCCGTGGTTCTTCTGCGGGACTGCAAAGGGGTTGCAGATGGTGATAAAGGAAAGGCCAGAATCATAGTTTGTTCAACCCCCCGAATTAGACTGAAAGAAGGGAAGAAGGAAACGAGGGAAAGAGAAGGAAAGCAAAACGCGGCACACAAGGAATGAGGAGGGAGGATGATAAAGGAGGGGTTAAAAGCGAATGAAACGAGGAGGAAGAGGAGGTTGAAGCAAGACAACAGAGAGAGGATCGGGTACAAGCAGCGAACAGCTCGATGATTGACCGATGATTTTGGCTGCTTTGGCTGCTGGTTGCGATGCGATATGCATGAGGCTGGCTCTAGCGTCGAAAGGGGGATGAAGGCTGCAGCAAAACGAGGCCGCATTATTTATTAGATTTCCATTTAGTATACTATTTTTTTAATAATTCTTCCTATTCTTATTTTAGTCATTGATCATTTATCCATCCATAATCCCTCCAGAACCAGGTCATCCCTAGTTTTGTCCTGCCCGGTTAACGGACGGAGTTTCCCGGATTATGGGCGAGAGCTGAAGATGGCTTGCTGCGGTCCGGAGTAGAGAGTGCTAAACTGTCCCAAAGGGATGGCTAGACCCGCTTGGCTTGTTAAGATATTGATTGGGGGTTAATCTTGGAGTCGACTTAACCTTCAAAATCAATCAAGAAAGTAAAACCCCGATGTATCTCAAATTGTCGCGGGCAGTTCCTGGTCGGCTGCAGGATCATCATGGTCATCATGGGCATGGAGTCATGAACAGCCTCATTGAAGTGACACATCCATGCAAGGGATGGAGCTGGAATGGACCTTGATCGAGATGGGGAGTTCCCTGTTTGCATACGAAAAGCCCGATGGGTGGGTGGTGGTGCAAGTGAATCTCAAGGTGATGGTGATGGTGATGGTGATGGTGATGAATCATAACAATGTGATGATAAACAGACTAACGGGAGATGGAAATTGAATACGAAGACCTGAGGAAGCCTAAGAAGGGCTGAGAAGGAAGAGTGTGCTTACTGCTTACTGTTTTTACTGCTGACCTACAGTAGTGCGTATGATGATGAAGTTCTTTGAGTTAGTCCGATCTTCCCCCGTCAAGTCTAGCCCTTTTCTCCGTTGCCCGATAAACATCAATCAGTTCTACTGACTGCAGTGTATGCCTTCTTCGTCGCCTGTCTTTTCCACTTCCAACCACATTCCCTCTCGCTTTTTCTCTTCGGCCATGCCGATTGTCAAGAATTCGAATAACATCACATAATTTACATTATCCGCTGGTCAACAGCCACTCATGAATCGGTGCCTGACTGCTGCAGCTAGGGCAAAAAATAAATCAACAAAATGAGACTAAGTTAGACTTCGCTTAGCATGACATACATTAGGACAGATCACATAGCGGTAGGGAGGATCTCCCTGTGGGTTGCCTTTTCCTTCCATTACTCTGCCACGTTATTCTTCCCTCTCAGCAATAATATGTTCGGCCGGTTCTAATCCGACCTCGGAGGAAGAGCCTGCTTCCTCCCTCCCTCGCTTCTTTCTTTTCTTTGTTCGTGGCTTAGTACAGAACTAAGTTAACCCCCGTGACACAATATCGCCACAACGACACCCGTCCTCTTCAGCCCATAGTATTCATTGTTTTAATTCACCAAGGTCTTTCATGGCCCTCGATCGCATCACTACCTTCATCTAGCATGGTGAAATGCTCGTGTCGTTCTACTTCTTGTTTCTTGTTCTTCGTTACACTGGTCGATCTCCAAATCCTAACCTTTGCCATGCCCGAGATCGACTAGCTAGTGGAGCAATACTTACAAGGAACTGAGAGATAGTCGTGGTCCAAACATTGACAGGTCATATAGTACCCGGCTCGTGCCGTTCAATTGACCTCTCTCTTGGGTGCTCTCGTCTCTTTCTATTCTCTCTTCCCCCCTCGTTCTTGCTTGCGTCCACAGTTCGTTCCTTCATTGTGAAATCATTAGGACAGCAGTGGCCATCAGCCCCATGGCCCCGAGATGAGACCAGCCATTGTGATTACCTGATCCGTCGGCGCAACATCCAAGGCAACTGTTGTAAATATACAGCGCCACAAATGTCCTTCGCAGCGGACATGCTGTGCAACGAATGCGAGTCGGGCATATTTCGGATGGTGATGCTGAAATGGTGGCCCCGAGTCCCGAGTAGATCACCGATCATCTCCTACGAGACGGTGAACAACGCAGTGAGACCCCTATTCCAGGTTTTGCTGATATCGTGCTGCTGGATGGAGCAAGGCCATGTCCCTCACGACCGAACAGTCCCGCTCCACTCCTGCACAGCTAAGCTCGACAAGACCATCACCGCTTCCATTATGAACCTTCTAGAACAAAAGAGACTCAAGGGAAGGCCACCAATCGCACAAGTCACCGCTCATGCTTTTAGGAATCAGGCCCACTGGCACCATCGATCTGTTTCAGATATGCCGCCCGGCGGAGGTCGATCTTATGGGGGTCATTATTGCTGTTGCTGCCGAGTTTGGCGGCGGCCCGCCATCCTGACGATTGGAGGACAGACCGCATATTCTCTTCCTTCACCGTCAACCTGCCAACAATGCTTTGATCGGCAATGGGACCCTCCTGCCTGACATCATCATTGCTCATATTCGTGTTCTTGGTCACATTCAAACCGGTACTACCTACCTGCTTTGTAGCTTTTCCAGTACCAAGCATCAAGATGAATTCTTGGACTGCCAGAGTGAGTCGGTGAGACTCAACTAGATGATCAGCAGACGGGAATACGAGGTCAAGGTCTCGGGGGATGTTGGGGACCGCCTGATCGATAGTAATCGCTGCCCGACCTTAGCTGGATACCAGTTGTAAATGCCTCACCAAGCATCTAAGACAAGTTTGACTCGCCGTTTCGGCTGAACAACCTCTCACGGCCTTGCACGCAGTAGCTATCAACATAGGGGAGGGAAAGCAATTGGTCTCGCTATATTACCAAGCTCGTTTGTGTGATCTATCAATGACTTGGCCTAATCAATTGATGAAGATTGACGAAACTTCAAAATCTGCTACACTACTGTAATACACTAAGCAAATACAACAGTAGGTGCTAGGCAGTGATCAGGTGATCAGACCGAGCAATCAGATAGAATGAATGCAAGAACAATCCAAGCACTTCTTCCTATTCCCCGTCTCCGCAGTTATTGACCGCCTGCACTTTATATCCGGGGATGGTTTGAGCATCATTGTGAATATTCATCGTGTGTTCTCGAGGGATTCTCACATAAGATGTAAACCTCTATTCAGCGAGAACTTCTCTAAAGCAAGCATGGGTACAATATCAAGACACGAGGTGGTACCTCGCGAGCCAACCATCCAAACATGCAGCTGCCATCTCCGACCCAGACAACAAACATCGCACAACGTCGATGCATCATGCAGGAGGTCTGAAGAAAACCCATCCCATCTCGTGCCGTCATTCCTCGCCCTGCATACTGTCACGAGACTCTTCCGAGAGTGAGCTAGAAGACGCAAGGTCGTCAACAGCCATCTCCTTTTCCGATAGATCAGCGGAAGGTGTCCGAGGCGCACTGTATGGGCAATGGTCTCTCCCTACTAGGTAGAGTCTCAAAGCCCTCTCTACCATGATTATCTCCCACTGACAGACCCAATCCTGTCTTTCAGGTTAGGTATCTGATGATCTTACACCAGCCGATGATCCTTTGCCCAGGCGATGGTTCCCCAAATGACGAGAACCCCGCCGAACCTCTAGCCGTCCATGGCTTTAAGCTGGATAATGAAATGATACCCCGGCTTTGCAAGAGCCCATGCTCTGGAATCCATTCCTCCTGGAACACTAGCAGAAGCCCTATAACAGAAGCCCTGTCCCGATCTCACCTCAATAATCATCATCATCAGCTTCTACTATTGATACCTTTCAGTACCAGATACTTACAGCCCACGATTATTGATCCATCTCACGAGGTCAGAGCGCTCATATTTGCAGAGCAAGTCGTACAAATCCCCCAAATATTTCCTGCAATACCACGCAAACACCCTTCAGATCGACATACACATATTCCGGAGATAGACCCACGGGGACACCGAGTCAACCAAGAATGACAAATACCGGATCCCCAGAGCTTTGGCACCTAACCGAGGCGACCTTCCTTCTTACCGGAGATTTGGTTCATGGCGAGGTTCGCTGGCTGTTCGCAGGAACTAGTGTCAGCCTACGGATACGTGCATTGGAAAGCAATCAACGAGGAGCAGCGCAAAGGGCGCCACCACCATGGTTTCCACCCCCACCGACTCCAACAGGAAACTTGTTGCGGGTATACTTACAAATCAAGTGCGACCGATGTGCATCGTGCATTTGGGGGAACCTGTCACACCTGGGCTGGGAGTTGAGAGGTGCCCCGATCTCGCGTGGCGCCGTCCGACTTCGGTACGGAGGAGTTGGGGTATTAGAGGTTGTGTGACGGGATTGAGTATTGATAATCGGATTCTGGGTCGCACACTGCTTTAGCGCGGCATCTACGAAGCTTGAGTTATCCTAGTCTGGCTGCTGCGATTCGGACGGTGATCCAAGGAATGTCCTACAGCCTTCAGACAATCTTACCCTGAGAGATATCTTACATTTGAGTTATTACTGACCATACCTTGAGATCTGGTTTGCTGTGGGCTTTGGAGCCTCTTGGATGGTCTCCTGCGCTTAGTAGCCTACGTTATGAGCATGGATACCAGCTAGTGCTATTTCATCTGTGTCACCCCAACAGTCCCAATGTTGAGTCCTGCAGCACGCCATCTTGCTATAATTCCGAACGGGATCAGAATTCCAAATTATCTCCGTCGATGGTATTCAGCTCCTCACTCATGCACCCCAGCCCGTGGGCAAGAGGTCCAGGTGAAGTCGCTCTGTTGGGCTAAGCTTGCGGGGCATCAGAGATGTTTGCTATGTGGGATCGATGCTTAGCCGCTTATGCTGGCAATATCATCAGCCGTCTATTCGACCGGACTTGCATCTTGTTCCAATGCAATTGGTCATGTGTCGTCATAATATATCCAAGGGAGGATGACAGCCCTCAACTGAGCTTAGCAGCCAGCTTCATATCCTCCTTGGTTAACTGATCCCCCTTTTGTCGGACCGCACTCAAGCGGCCCATCTTCAGCAGGCGTGAGATCATCGCCTCGTCCCCAAAGTGGCTGTTGTGTCCAAACTCGGGTTCCTGTGCATACGCCACTCGCGCCACATCCACCATCATCCGAGCGGTCATGCCCCAGACCCGGTACCGCGCCGCCGCGGATCCCGTCTCCTGCTTCTCAAGCTGAGTGAGGAGGTGTTGCTGTTCTTCGTTCTCACCCTTCGGCTTGACTACGTCCTCCGAACGAACCGGAACGAAGAATTGGTGCACTATTTTGGTAGGTGGTATGCGTTAGCGCCCAGCACAGGCCGATTTCTTCAGCGAAAGTCGCAGACGAAAGAGAAAGATAAAAGCTTACTTCTCCACCGACTCTCATGCCACTCCGTCCAAGATCCTTGATACCATTGAGGGTCAGTATCGCCCTTGACGCGCAGGAAATCCTGGAAGGGGGCGGTAAACACCGCCGCCACCTCCTTGGCATCCAGCCGGGGGATCAGCGACACCTCGGGGTCGGCGTTCTCGGCCGTGGCCTCGTCGTAGGAATGCAGCAATGCCACACACGGCCGGACCACCAGCTCCGTCCGGGCGAGGTTCGCCGGGAGTTCGCAGAGGTGCTCCACGCGAAAGGGCCGCGGAAGACTGCTGTCCTCCTGCGGCAGACCGATCTCCTCGTAGGCCTCGCGGCGGGCCGTCTGAAAGGGTGATTCGGCCAGAGAATCGGCGCGGCCTTGGTGAATCAGCTCTTTACCATTGCTTAATGTTTAAAAGGACAACTTGAACATAACATGTACTCACCACCGGGTAAAGCAGCCTGACCAGCATCTACTCATCGAAAACCCATCATCAGCACCAGACTCAGCCCGCGCTGCCCCGCAGTCCAAAACAGGGGAAATAAATACAAGAACTCAACGTCTTCGCTCTCATCGTCAGAACCACCCTCAACGCCCCCTCCCGATCCGCATACAGTAGCACCAAGACCGCCGCGCGACGCGACAGCGGAGCGAGGTCGTAGTTCGTCGGCGGCGGCGTATATTGTCTGAGTCTATCGATGGCGGCCTAGACAATATTTCACAGAAACGTAAACTTGGTCAGCCATGAAAAGACACGCTTGTACTGTGCTGTACTGTAAATCATATTGAGCATGTGAAGTTCTATCAAAGCAAAGTAGAGAGCCCTTTCTTTTGTGTGTTCTTGACAGTCTGACAGTAAGAAGTTGGAGTTCGAGTTGGAGACGGGGTGTAGGGTTTGTGTTTGCGTTACGTCATCTTCCCCTTTCCCTTTTAACTTGCCCTGTCTGCGCGTGTAGCAGCACCGGGGGAGGTGAATGGGATGGCTTTATTGAGAGATTGGGATTCAGGGGGAAAACTGGGGGTTTGGTATGGTAATTTTCCGAGATCGAGGGGAAGCAGCTCTTCAATTTAATCAATGGGGGAAGGTACGGTACGGTACCTGCGAGACGGGGTTGAGCCGCGGCATCGTGGCTAGGAATCTTCTACGCGTGCCGAAGGATTGAGGATGGGATTGGAGTTGGAACTGGGGATAGGATAGTCGGGCACCGGAATTGAGGCGTGGGTGGAGGTGGAAGTGGAGGTGGAGGTGGAGGTAGCGGTAGAGGCGGGAGAAGGAGGGGCGCATTGCCGTTCTAGATCAAATCTGCATTCGAGTTCTTGTTTCGTGGTCCCGGGGGGGGGGGGGGTAAAAAAAGGAAGATATAAGATGGGAAACGGAACGGAACGAATGGGCTGGATATGGAGATATTGTACTAGGGACTTGGGGTTGGCGTTGGCGTTGGCGTTGGCGTTGGCGAAGGGTCAAGGTGGAGGTGGAGTGGAGGTGGAGCGGCACTGTGACAGAGGCAAGGCCCGAGTCCGGGGTTTCTCGGTTGCCGAGGTTGGGGTTGGCGGAAGTGGGAAGTGGGATTGGATTGTCCGAGAGGAGGGAAGAGGAACGACTTACGGTCCACGATAAGAATCAGGCCTATTTAGGTCAGAGGGGGCCAATGTACTGTAACTGCAATGGGTTTGGGATTGAGGCAGGGGATTGATATTGATACAGGGGGCCATCCCAGTCCTCGTCTGAAGCTGCTTTTTGCTCTTATTCGTAATCTTACAGTGCTGATATCCTATACAGCACCCAAACACGACGGTTCAGTATGAAGTCTATCATATAAGCACTAACTAACACAAGAGTAGAAAAGAAAAGTAGAGTAATATGTCTATATGTCACAGAGGGTCATCAAATTTCGAAAGCAACGCCCACACACAGAGAAAAAAAAAAGATTCAGAGGCAATTCGGCATCGAGTTACAGCCTTTTATTTCTTCTCCTCCTTGGCAGCGGCAGCGGCTTCCTGGGCAGGGCTCTCCTCGACGCGGTCGCCCTCCTTGACGGCCTCGGAGGCCTCGGAGGCCTGCGAGCGCGAGCGGTACTTGACTTCATCCTTGTCGTCGTCGATATCCTCGATATCCTGGGGCGCGGAGACGCCCTTCTCCTCGTTCTCGCTGTTCTGGCTGTTCTCCTCCTCGATGAGCTCCTGCTGCTCCTTGATGACCTCCAGGCGCTGCTTGTTGGTGGCGGCACCCTCGGCGTTGTGGACCTCGAGCTCGATCTCGTGGAAGAGCTCCTCGGGGATGCTCGACAGGACGGACTGCAGGGCCTCGATTTGGGTGGACATCTCGGCCTCTTTACCACCCTGGGCGTAGACGTAGGCGTTGCTCAGCACCAGGAGCGTGGAGGGGACCCCCTGCTTCAGACGCAGGTCCAGCCAGACGGAGAGGTCCTCGCGCAGGCGGGCGGGGGAGACCCCGTGCGTGCGGATGCCGCGGGAGGCGCACGCCATCTGCAGCTCAGGCACGGACAGCGACTCCACGCCCTCGTAGAAGATGGCCCGGTCGTCGCGCTTGATCTGGCGCATGCGGTGGCGGATCGTGTACCGGAGCATCGCGTCCGTGCCGAACGAGTTGAGGTTCATGTACTTGCAGATGCCCACAAGCTGCGGCCGCGACAGGTTGTCCAGCGTCAGGTCGTCCTTGAAGATCTTGCACACCTTGATCACGTCCTCCGGCGTCGGCGACTCGCCCGTGGTCCGGATCTTCTTGAAGAACTCGGTGAACTCCTCGTTCTTCACCGTCGCCGCCGTCACGGGGAGACCCGATTCCCGCAGCGTGTCCTTCAGGAAGCCCGACACCTCCTTCCGGGTGGAGCTGAGCTTCAACGCCTTCTTCTCGCGGCCCTTCTGGCCCTCGTAGGTGCTGGGCAGCATGTTGGGGAAGAGCTTCAGGGCGACCGGAAGCAGCAGTTCGGCGAAGGGGATGATGACGAACATGGAGAATGGAACTAGACGTCCCAGATCGGACACCGTTCTGCGAAGCTATTTTCATTGAGAGGCTGGATCAGCAAAGGCGTGTCTCCCTGACCGCACTGGCCGCGGAATCCTGCTGCAGTACTCACCTGGCGATGCTCTCTCCGGCTGAGTTCGTATCCCGCAGCCATCTTCAGCGCAAGGCGAGAACTAATCTTGACCTCGGTGGCCAATAGCTTCGTACCGTCCCAGTAGTGCTGGGCTTCCTTCTTGATCTTCTGGCCGAGCGTCAACTTCTTCGTCTCCTTCTTCTCATCGGTCTTCTTGTCGGCATCCGTGCTCTTGGCCGTCGTCAATTCATTCGAGATTTCCGTGCCGGATGTCTTAGCGGGGGCCTTGACGGACTGTTCGGACGCAGGAACCACCTGTTTGGCGGGCTGCTGCTGCTGCTCCGCAGCGAGCGGCTTCTTGGCTTGTTCGGCATTGAAGCCGGGGGGGGGGAGAGGGTCAGAGGAAGAGGATGTGGAAGAGGATGGCTCGGTGGCATAGCCGCGCTGGTGGGGGACGAGAATCGCAAGGGCCGAGATGTGGGATGGCAGTCCTCTGCCGTTGAGGCGGAGGTTTGCGGCGGTGTTGGCAGCCAACGCTCCGGTCAAACGCGGTCGGACTAGAGACGCATCACATCTGAATTAGCCGTCACATTGGTCGCTAGCAAAGTATACCTTGCTACTGAATTGATCCGCCCAGCGATAAAAGCGGGATAACATACCGACCAGGTTTGAGCGCAGCGCACCACTGCCGCGCATAAGGCTAGCTGACCTCAGTGTGACGGACATGGCGAAGATCTAAATTGAAAAAAGCTCGAGGCAACGAGCGAGGGCAACAGATATGCACAGCAATGCGAGATCGGAAAGTAGTCTGTAATCCCAGCGAAACACACAGGTATAATTGGAGGCGATAATAGTTTGGAATTCGGGGAGGGAAGTTTGTCGTCGTGGTGTCGTCGGCGAAGGTCTGGAGCAGAAGGTGGCTACTTCACGTGACCTCTCCGGTCTTCGGGGATAAAATGGATTTTGTCGCCGCCGAATCGGGAGCTCCGCCTCGCAGTCCCGTCCGCTTCTTCCTAAATCCCGAGCGAGTCCGCCTTCCTGCGAGTATTTCGGAGAACGTATCCTCCATTGGTGAGTCAGAGCCCGGGCACTCATGCAGATTTAGAGGGAAAATAAAATATGTCATTGGTTTCAAAAGAAAAATTCATTCAGTCATAATAAGCACAACTTCTGCTCTATCTAATGGCTACATCAAAACGCAGAACTACACAGTCGACTAAAATCAGGCTAATCCAGCATTGCTCCAAGTGCAGAAAGGGAAGGAACGACTATCGAGTTGGGTATCGTATTGGAGCCATTCAAAATGCAATCGCGGGCCCAGAGAATGTGCAAGTGAAACCACTAAGACCATAGAGAGTCAATAGTAAACCCTTCGCATAGATAGAAGAATCACGATCTTTCTCGCACAGTGGAGTCGTTGCTGGGAACTGCAGCGCTCTCAACACCAGTAGAAGCCGCAGGGGCATCCAGAAGAGGGATTGCATCAATGCTAGCCTTGTTGGGCTCAGCGCTTCCGGCGATAGTCGACTCAGCGTGGGCCTTGTCGGCAGAAGATGCGCCCTGGTCAGACGGTAGCAGCATTGGGCTGATGGCTCCCTCGGGAGACGAATGCCACCGCGCCACATCTTTCTTGAGTTCCTCCAGCTCTTTCTGGAAGCGCTTGCCAAAGATGTCAATGTAATATGTGGCACCGTTGTGCACACTAAGAATGAAGAGGGCGGTGAGGAAAGCTCCACTGGCCCAGCGAGACCAAAACCAAAGAGGGCACGGGATCATCGTTAGAATTGCGTAGAAATATTGAATCAGCATGAAAGCCGGGGCTTGCAGGGATTCAGGGAGGCTCAAGACGAATTTGCCCAACCAGGTCTTTGCGTAGGACTTGCGGAGCCAGGTGAAGCTGGTCGGGCGCCCGGCAGCAATCTTCTCCGCGCGTCGGACTGTGATAAAGCAGTGATAGGCAGCCTGCCAGATCATGTATGGCACAGTTGCCCACCCCATCATTTCGAGGAGTGTGAAATGGTCGGGAGACCCGGGTTCGCTAAACTTAATAGCATAAATGGCCGGGAACCTTGCTTTCAAAGTGGCGGCAGATGTCAAATGGACCAGACAATGCAGAGTCACCGGTGGCATTATATGGATGAACAGACTATGAGTTCAGCTAAGCAGATGTTCTGATGGACAGGGAATTCTAAGAGCGCGCTTACCTGACTACCTTGTCCATACTGTGGAATACCATAGAGTTCCGCCACATGGCAATAGCCACCGCATTGTTGCCAAACGTCAGACAGAAGGTGCTGATGAACAGTCGCTTCGAGCCGGGAAAGACCCAGATGCTCAGCATGCAGAGCAGATTGACAAAGTAGCACAAATCGGCGAGGAAGTAGTGGTAGCCTCGCTTATGGTACCCATAGTATCGAATGGGCATGAAATACGCCAACTGTACGCTGAACCAGATGTAGAACCACTCCGGCCATCCTCCGAGAAGATAGCCACTGATGAATATGTTGAGGACACCGGCTATGAAGGAGATCTTTTCGCGCAGGGTCACAGTTGCGGTTGCGTTCCATTGCTTGCCCAGTCTCTCCACGCCAGTCTTCATTCGCCGACGATACTTGTCAAGCCGCTCATCGGCCGTCGGAACCCTTCTTTTCCATTCTCCCACGACACGTTCTTTAGCATTCAAAGAGGACGACTTGAGTTTCTCGCGTTGTTTCTGCACCTTTGCCTTCTGTGCATTCAAAGCTTGCTGCAGCTTCTCCAGCCTCTGGGATAGAGAGAAATTGTCCAGCAGATCGAAGACGCTCAGCTGGTCCAGGGCCGGAAACGTCTCCCAGTCATCATGATAGGAGAAGGAGGGGTTGCGCGAAAGTCGACCAGGTGAAGCTGGCGGTGAGTAGAAGGTATCGGGGGTTCCTGGAGCTTCGTCCGCGTCGGACAGCTCTTCAGCCATCGCGGCCTGAAGGGCAGGAGAGTCGCCGCTGACTAGCGACTCTGTCTTTCTGAATTCGGAGGATCCACTGCCTTCCTCCATCATGAGTCTCTGTTCGAAGGAGAAAATCGTAGGGCCGTCACGGTTGTGTGGATAAGGCCGGCTGAGAAAACGACCTATAGTTAGCATTCCCATCTTGACTGGCTGCGATTCCAAATCTTCCGAGCAACTCGCAAAGATGCAAGTGATGGTAGAAAACTGAAGACTGGAGAGAAAGTTTGGGGGTAAAGGGTTTTTATTGAATTGGGGCATGGTGGACAAATGCACGAGCAATTGACATACTGATAGGAGGCGGCAGATGATGTGCACCTAGGATCGGGGAAACTGATAAGGTAAGGTCGTACCAAGGTTGCTAACGATCCAATAAGTGAATGCGGAGGAGAATTTGGATGAGGAGTCCAGCCAGTGTGCTTCAGTACTGAAGGCGCATGACCGTAGCGGCAGATGTTGATCCAAGGGTCTTGAGGAGGAAGAAGAGAAAGAAAATGGGGGAGTTAACAGCAAGTGAGAAGGATGAGAATCTGGGTGTGCACGCGTTGACGTAGCTGGTTGGCCCGGGCGAGCCTGTTTGGGTTGCAGCCTCAGGCTGTTCACCGCATCGATGGAATTCATGGGATGATGATCGGATGCAGTGGAGTCCAACGGCCCGCTCCAAACCAATAGCCAAAGTGCCTGTCCCCACATGGCTTCTCAACCCTCGGATTCCTTCCTGCCTCAGGCTATCTAGTCAATCAACACCTAGTCGATTGAACAGTGTCTCAGATGTAAATCAGGCGAGGGTCAATCTATCGGACTAAGCTCTACGATACGCGGGCATGACTATGTTATGGTTTGAAGGACTCAGAGCTGTTGTTCTGGTCGTATCATTACATAGTTCTTGAAACCCTGACATGTATGTATATACAACCTTGCAGATAAAAACTCACCTAACTCAATGATGGTCCCCGCAGAGATACAGCAAACAAAAGAGTATCAGGAAGAAAGCAGCAAGGTAGCCGGAAGGCACAGACTTTCTCATGAGAGCCAGCTTGTGATACATGCAGCACTCACAAGGAAAGCCTCGCCCGTTCCAATGACAGTGATCAGTAACCATTGTATGGAAGGGTGGCCCAGTAGCTCGAAGTGGCACTCTGCCCACTGGGCGGATGTGCCACTTGCTGCGCGAAATATTCTGGCAAGCTTTGAGACACAGTAGATTGCATGTCTCGAAACGCACCGGGATCTCTATTTGACTTTGAGATGCCACCGATGTCAGCTGGTTCCTTTGACAAACTGTTGTCCAGAGAAACTGCACGGCTGACTGTAGAGGATGACGCCGGAGAGAGAGAGAAGCAAGCACTTGGGCTTGCCGAGCCCTTCTCCGATAACGATGGGCTTCTGTCACTTGACTGGAACAATCTTTGGGGATGATCACTGTCTAGGCTCCGCTCCGCAGCCTCTGCTATCTTCTCTGTATCTGGAGTGAATCGTGTCGCGTGGGAATTGATAGACTTGCGGATAGTTTCAACAGCAGAGCAAGAGTCGTTTGTCGACTCCTGCAGCTCAGGGACATGACATTGATCAGCAAGGTGAGCATGAAAGACACGCACAGTTGTGTCACCACCTGTAGGATATTGTTAGCCCCTGGTTCGAATCGAGCGTGTCAAGCGCAATCTCGGCTGTAACGTACTGATCTTTCCGTCCAAGTATAATTCTTCCATTTTCCGAACATAGAAGATCTCGTCCAAGACATCTTGCCGCCTCGTGGGCTGAATCTGACGTTTCACATCCTGGCCTGCCTCCTGGAGTTTTTCGGCTGTCACTCCCTTACTGTCTTTCAGATTACACAGGATATGCACAAGCAACTTGATCCGCTCTAAGCGCCGAAGGGTGTTAGCATCGCATCAACTATATTAGCAATAAAGTCTGATCTCACCAGGCTTGAACAGGTGGTCGGGCTCTTTGTGTGTCACCCCAGCCGGCCACCAGTTGGGCTTGGTTAGCTCAGGGTCCATCCTCTGTGAAGCAGAAGCCGACGTTCGTCGGCCATTATACGGATGATTGACCTGCTTGCGGGGCTCTACTAGTTTGATGAATGCTTTGGCAATCACCCTGCAGTTCAGCTGTTGGAATTTGTCAAAAGCCCTTTCGTAGTAGTGCCGAAGGGCTTCAGTGTCCCCCAGTCGAAGGATTGTTGCTCTTGTTTCTGAGCTCTGCTCATTTTCCGACGTCGAACCTAGAGCTGAAGCTGAATCAGTCTGTCTTAAACTTCTTCGGGGACGCTTGAAACGCAACGACACCAAGTCACAGGGTATGAGTCCGGCCGGTCTTGTTGTGGTTGGATGATGGGGCCAGGAAGAGGAAGAGGAAGAGGTAGAGTAAGTCGCCGCCGCTTCATCTCCGGACATGTGACTTAAAGAATTGTCTGCTCGGAACACACCTCTTCATTACTCATGCGTTCCTTCTTCGACAGACGGACGTCTGACTTACTCGTATTCAGCTGCCATGCTGAGGCCACAGACCTCAGGAATCGCCCCTGCACCTCCTCTGTGAATATCTCTCTCTCTCCCCCTGCAATGGAAGGGGACCCTTCTGAGCGGAGTTGTCCACTAGGGTCAATATACATCACTGCATAATGGGAACAGCGCAAGGCAGAAGCCAGTCGTTGCATGTCCTATGCACATCATGTCATAAGTCAGATGACATATCGTTTCTCCGGCGGTTTGGGGGGAATTCTTACCGTGTGGCTCGACTGAGCAGTCATATCGTGGGACGACAGCAGATGCTCACGGTCCGACCCTTTAGCTTCCATCAGCCGATTTGTTGCAACCACTTCACAGTTTGGACTTGTCATACCTTCAAGATACAAGGATCACTGCGTCCAATGATGCCGGTTGTCTTTGTGTATAAATGAAAGCGGCCCACTCGGATAACTTGAAAACTGTGATATTGCGCCAGCAGATACAGGTATTTCTTCGTGAACAGAAGCTCCGAGGGTAGTAGATTGAGATGTATCTTAAGCTCAATTCTCCAGGTCTTGAGCAACAGGTTATATAGGTGCGCTGCCACCATGTATCACAGAGAAGGCGCCGACTGAAACTTCCCATCGGGGTCGACGATCGAGAGCAATACGAGGCCCGAACAAAAGTACCTGTGTCGACATTGGATTACACTTGACCCTGTCAGTGGGGTTTAACCCAGCCCGGTGGCGGTTCTGACGTGCAAAACTAATGCAAGGATAACAAACAACCCCCAGGCAGAGGCCAGGCACTATTGCACACAAGACTTTATCATGCACCGCATACTATAGCCTAACCCCGGTACGAGTATGGTGCCTGATGGATTTACCTTCTTTATTTGCCTCCAAATTTCCGGTTTTGTGTCATCCAAGATTGCATATGGCTGCCTCAGCTCCCCCCGGCGCCCAAACTAAGACTCAATCTGGTGATGTCAAATGGATGTATTCGTCCGACTGCATCATGCAGAAGCATACTATCAATATTTTGCGAGGTCGCGCCAACGGCGCATGGCACAGCGAGGTCTCCCTCGGGGGCATTCTGGCGGTGGATTCGCAGCTTTGGGAAGAAGGCGAGCATGCCTGGCCGCAAAACCGCAAGGACCTCCGATATGAGTACAATCGCACAGGCAAACGGCCCTGAAGGTCCAGAACAGGATGACGAGATACGGAGCCATTATCTCTAACTAGTCACGGTTTTCACCCGAGGCGTATGTTACGAGTACATCTACTGGTACTTCATCTCAACCTGCGATCGGCGAGTACGCTTGGCTCCAATGTTCACAATTAGAGAGAGACAAGCGTCTCGTCCAATTATCATCTGATTTGGCTATTTTACTGATTATCTGCGACACCAATGGCGTACGCAACTGATGTGCAAAACCAAACTTCCTGCAAGAATCAGCAGCTAATTCGCTATTTCTAGCAGCGAAGATCACATGGCTTCGGAAAGTACTCGGAACCCATAATCGGAAATTGATGATAGGCTGCTGCTGTCAATTGCTGCCATCCTTGTGGCATGTTGGTGCTACGGCAAGTCACTTACTATCTCCGTGCAGGAATAGTATCGCTAGAGTGACAGTTGACCGACTCTGACTTCGGCTTTCCACCAGTGGGAATAATTCCATGCTTCAGGTCACTCTGGATTAACTTCGCTGATGTTTTCGATTTAATCTCTGCCCTAGGAGCTAGTGCGCTTATTGCGGAGGTTGGGCGTAACCCACTGTACCTGGGTGTCAGAGCGAGCTCGTAGCCTGACCGCTGATCGCACTGATACTTTTTTTTCCCAGTCGCTTTCATGAATGGCTCAACAACAAGGTTTCAAACTTTAACGCAGTGTCCCTTAGTGGCGCACGGAACCGACCTCAGTTTCCCGATAGGCTTGTGCGATCTCGAGCTTGTATGTCGGTCGATCCAGATCTTACCCTCAAGACCACTCTTCAGAGTGCTCTTCCAACAGACCAAAGAGGAAACTCCAGGGCCACGAATTGAATAGCATCCAGTTGCTTTCAATTGCATTGTTTCTGGCGAACAATCGATGCAACGGCAATCGCGGATTTGGCATCCGACTATGACGATTGGCCCAAGGCATTTTCACCGATCCTGCAGTCAGAACGGTCAAGGGAGGTAGCAAACATAGAGCTCCCTTGGAAAGCTGATTGCCGATCGACTTGCATACTAACCTGCTAACCTACTGTTGCAGTAACTCAATCGGGAAAAGTCAATGAATGATGCAACAGGGAAGATAAGTTAACTACTCCAATACTACTGTAAGCAAGTAACGGCCGTCTTGACTCGGGTGCGGGGAAGTTGGCAATGAATCCAACCCTTCTTCGTCGACTTCATTTCCAAGCAAACAACTCGCCACTCTCTCCTTCAGGAGCATCTGTCAATTCTATCTCACCACCCTTTCTTTCTCGTCAAGGTCATGGAACGCGATTGCCATTCTGGGAGACCTGCAGCCAGCAAAACATCCCCGTCCGTACAGAATTATGCGGGAGTGTATTCTTCCAGGAATTTCGACATAGTGGCTTGCAGAATTCGGGATCTGAGCACTCGCTGCTTCACACGGGCCAAGCGAAAAGACCACATCCCTTCAAAATTAATGACAGTGCCATGTGTCATGATCATTCCTGCCATGGCGCTGGAATGACTTGCCAAGCCGATCCATAAGCGATCAAAGTTGTGCAGAAGTGACCTGTCTTTCGGTTCGTGACGGGGACTCTCTACCGGTAGCTGATCCGCTGCAGGAAGAAAAAAGTGATCAATCGAGCTGTGTGTGTATGTGGTCTGGTCCACCGCGTAAGGCATCCATCCGTCCTCCAAAGTCTATCCAGCAATGCCATAGCCAGGTCTGTGGCTCCGAGAGTTTACATATCGCACCACTAATCCGGACTTAGAGTTTTCTGTACACCGATCATTTGATCTGTCGACTCCCTTTCCACGCAACGGAGGATACGGGATAAAACTGATTATTGACTCCACACACAAGCTCACGTCCCGCTGTGGCTGGGCTTTCAGCGACGACTCACCACTGACAGGAATCATGTTATGTTTAGCTCATCCGAAATTGACTATTGACTTCTGCCTTACTGGGATTGGGGCCAAATGCTCCGAAACTTCGGTCTGGTCATGGATCGACCAGGAACTCCACCCCACTGCCTTCTCCATGGCTCTGAAACATGATGGGCAGGCTTTTGACGTCAAAGCTCGGCCTCTCCCAACGCGGAGGTCGATGATCACGATGGTGGACGTGCTTGCCTCTCCTGATCGGCTGGCAGAACGGAGTCCGTCACTCCGTACATCAGACTGAATGCTTTACGGGAGTGGGCCACGAAGTCAGGAAAACAGGTGGATGTGGTGTATCCTGAGGTAAGTTACGAGGAATACAGTGTAACTTCGTGGACATGGATCGACAGCTCCAGCTCGACAAGACGTGGCTTAGCATCGTGAGACGCGCGAGCCCCTGTTGAGAGCCCAGTATTCAATTCTCTGCAACGATGCGCATCTTCCCAGTGCTTGCTATAAGGCTGCTGCAAACACGGCAGCCTGCTTTGCCATGCTCGACAATCTGAAGAGCAACCCCCTCTTGGAAAGCCATCCATCCTGCCTTCACTATCCGAAAATATGACTCCTACCACGTCAAGAGAGCAGCGCTCGAATAAGGAACCTCGATGCTCACTATTCCGTCTCGGCTAACCGAAACTGTCTCCCCCGCCGTAATGTTTGCCAAACGCACAGGCTTCCCATTGTTCAGTTCATAATTGTACGACAATCCATCCCAGGTGACCCCCGTGATAGCGTCACTACCGTTGGCTATCAGCCGCTGCACTGAGACAGTAGTTCCAGCAGCAGATGAGGGCACTTGAAAAACATAAGACGCGTTGGGTCGTTGGCTGCTGCCCGTCGTTGTCGACCCGGTGTAATTGAACTCCACCAGGTTGATGACAGCAATCCGGGCCAAGCCACCGTTCACGTACGCGGCATATGCGGCCTCGGTGTCTCGCTTCAGCGGAAGGTTGGCGATCTGGACATCGTCCTTCTCGCCGCCCTCGCCGCCGTGGAGCATAGCCGCCACCATGACGTTGCCGTAGTAGGGCGCCTTGGTGCCAATGGTGGTTCTGTTGGTGTTGACCGGCTGCCAGGAGGCGTACCGAAAGTCGCGTCCCTGGTGCATGTGGGTCCGTCGGATGTTCTGCGACGCGCAGTAGAGGTTGAAGTCGACGCCCCAGAGCGCCGCGCCGAACGAATTGGAGAGCCCCGACGCGCCTTCGTTGTACAACGAATTGGTCTCCCCCAAGATGTACGGGATATTCGTGGTCAGGTTCTTTTCAAGCAGGATGGTCGAGACATTGACATGCTGCGCGACGCTCTGGACCGTCATCGTATGGTTCATTAGTGTCTTCTGCAGTGTAACGCCCGGTTGCGTGGCGCCGCCAATGTAACTATGCCAAACTGTCTGTCAGTACACCGGCAGGCTCCCCACACACACTCTGGGCGAACAGCAAAACCAAACCAAAAAAGAGAGAGAGAGAGAGATAGACGCACTTATGCTCCGAATTCAGCGCGATATTCCCCTTCCTGTCAAGCCCATTCTCCCACGTCACCACGGGGTTCAAACTATTGGAGACCCCCGCAAACGACGGCGCGATATACTTGGCGTTAGCGAATTCCTCCCCGCCGGCGCAGGACGCCCGCATCTTCTGCTGGATGGCCGTCGTCTTGTTCACCCACTCATTCACGTAGTCCCGCTCCGTCCAGGTGGGGGGCCGCACCGCCCCCTGCGCCGAGGTCTTGTAGAGATCGGGCTCGTTGCCCAGCTCCCAGTAGGCCAGCTTGCCCCCGGCCAGCGCCTCGCACACCAGCGGCACCGTCTCCAGCAGCTGTGCGAACTGCGCCGAGGTGTTCCGGCCCAGGTTGAAGCCGTGGATGAACCGGGCTCCCGGCCAGGTCGAGTAGGACTCGAAGTACGAGGGCCCGATCGTCAGGAGCAGGGGGTAGTCCGTGCTGATGCTGGGGACATAGGTGCCGTTCGTCGCGGTGGGGAGGGTCGGGTCGTAGAGGGCAAAGTCTCTTTGCTGGGTGTTAACAAGAGATATCCAAACAGATGCAGAGACAAAGACATACTGCGTAATCCCTCCCACCCGAATAAAAGGCTTCACCCCCTCCAACTCAGCCAGATTATCCAACAAGTTATTCGAGAAGGTGTTCGGATGAGATCGATTCCCTTGAATCATCTGGTCTTAGCCGTGAATTCTTTGTTGCATACACCACCCAAACCATCCCCACCCCAGAAACACAAAAAAAGGGCATATTCCATTTTCCCCCCCCATCATACTACACCATTCCCACAAAAGAATAGGGCAAGAGGAGGGAAAATCATACCCGCATAATCCGGAAAGAAGACAAACTCAATCGAAAACGACACAAACGGATGCAAGACGGGCAAGCCAGCGGATTCGGGGACGGATTGGCTCACGACGATGACAGAAGAAGAAGAGGAGTTGTTAGGTGATGTGACGGCTGGAGCTGCGGTGACGGTAGTGCTCAGCGCCGCTAGGGCTGCGGTGAGTAGCTGATGACCATGGTGGTGGAGGAGCATCATTGTTGCTGTTTTTTTGAACTCGTGTAGTCTTAGGGTATATCAATAGGTCTGGGGTATAGGTCGTTTATGTAAAGACGGAACTGCCAGTGTAGTGGTCCCTGACATGTACATGGTGGAACATTTGCGTCCTATGGCCCGGGGTAATATATACCATTGCATCCTGTGCAGCTCCGCGGCTATGGAACGGGCAAGAGGAGGCGGCCATTGACTCGCCTGCAATGAACGTAAGTGCGATGTAACTTCATAAGGATCAGTAGGGGTTTATTGGCGGAGTTGAGGCCGGAATTCTTCCGGGGGTCAGGGATTAAAGAGAGCTGGAGATGAAAGGGTCTGCGGGGATGGCGGGGGTGGGAGAGACGATCTTTGGGGGTTGGGGGTTCACTTCACTTGCGAGAGGCTAGGGCTCTGCTGTCGAAACTGGCTGGTGTCGTGTCGTAAGATCCGGACTTCTCTCCGTGATCGGAGTAAGGTCGAAAAGTGTCTGGCCTAGAAGACGAACCGGGGTGGGAATCAGGAAAAGCAGAAAGAAAAGTCCCATTAATCCGTTGCACGATAGCTAAAACCATTTTGCTCATCAAAGAAAGAAACAACAAGACCAGACCAGAGAATGATATATTCTACACATCACACCAGAGTCAAGTAGCCCAGTCCACTCCACCCAATCTTTCCGAATCATTGTTTAGTTGTATTTACGGAGCTGCACGAACGGAAGCAATTAGTATCTCATTTAGCGAGGAGTTCGGGAAAAGAAGGGTTCTCACATCAAGAGTCAGAGATTTACTGCTGTTTTCCACCTGATCTCGGTAGATTCCAACCAGGGCTTCACTGTTTTGGAACAGTCCGTTCTTCAGACTAATGACGATAAACTGCATGCCCGGAGCAGCGTGGTCATGGATGTAGTTGGCGATGCGAGCAACGTTGGTGTTGTCGAGGGCAGCATCGACTTCGTCCAGCACGAAGAAGGGTGACGGTTGGTAGGAGTGGATCGCAAATAACAGAGCCAGAGCGGCCATAGTCTTTTCTCCACCGGACAGATGTTCCATGTCCCGGAAACGCTTCAGCGGAGGCATGGCGTGGTACTTGATACCGTCGAGGTAGGGCTCGTCCGAGTCCTCGATATCCAGGTAACTGCCATTCTGTTAGCACAGGGTCGAATGGAAGGAGCTCCAATCAGGCTTACGCTTGGCCGCCCAGTGGATAGTTTGCGCTCTTCGTCAATTCGCGGTAAATCGGACCGATTTGCTCGGAGATGTGAGAGAAGGCTTTGTTGAAGAGATCTGACCGCTGGCGCATCACATCTTCAAACTCGTCCTTCGCCTTCCGAGCCCGCTTCCGAGCATCTTCAAAGTCCTTCTCCGTGGCTCGAAGCTTGTTCTCCACGCTCTCTAACCGCTCCATAGCGCGTGTATTAGGTGCCATCTTGTCCAACTCGCTGTTGAGAGACCGGACCTTCTCGAGCAGTTCTTCTTCGAGCTTCTCGTCATCCTCCTATGATCGAATTAGTGGAAAGTCTTGTAAATCTGACGCCGAGTAACCTACCTCTTTGAGGGTGTCTCCAAGAGAGTCGAAGTCAACCTCGATGCCATAGTCCTGAACGGTAAAGGCGTCTCCAACCCCGTTGGCATCTTCATCCACGTCCATGGCGTCTGGATCCGCTGCTTGCATCAAATCGTCAATGGGAAGCTGATCCAAGGGGTTGGAGTCGTCTGTCAGCGGGATATCGATATCTTCCAGCTTACAACGCCGGAGAAGAGCGTAACGACTGGACGAATTGCGTTGTATCTCTGCCTCAAGGGCATTGACATTCTTCAAAGTGCCCTCAACTTCTCTGGTGCGCTTCTGAAGCTCCCTCCGGTGATGTGTCAGGTTCTCCGCCGACTGAGCATATGCCTCCTTCTGCTCCTCGAGCCGTTCTCGAAGAACGTCAAGTTCAGCATTGTACTCATCCATTTGGTTTCTGATGCGCTCCTGTTCGGCCTGAAGCTCCTGGATTAACTCCTCGTCACGTTGATGCTGTGCCTGAAGGCTAGCAATGCGGTCGCTCGTAGCCTGCAGTCGCTGCCGCTCAAAGCTTAGCTGGTTCTCAATCCTGCTCTTCTGCGTCGTGAACTCGAGCTTCTTTTGAGCTGCCTCCTCCTGTAATGATCCCTGCTGAACTTCGTACTCGCGGATGTTGGCATAGCCCAAACGTTTGCAGAACTTTTTGTACACTTCATCCTCTACGCTGCTGACCTTCTGTTGAGATGCTGCAATAGTCTCATCGAGTTCCTGTAGTGAATCCTCGCGCTCAGACAGCTTCGGTCGCATTTCTTCGAGCTGACTTCTGACGAATTCTAGTTCGCTGTGTTTGCTCTCGAGGTTTCTCTCGAGTGCTTTGAGCTCGTCCCGAGCGTAGGCAAGACGTTGCTCCAGGCCAACCAAGTCACCTTGTAGCGTCTCCTCTTCGGTGCCGCGGCGATGGCCCTTGGGTAGGTTGGCAAGATCGGCCAACAGCTTGTCTTTGAGCTTGTACAGATTCTCCACCTCAGAGTCCTCCCAGCGCTTGGAGTGCTGCTGAGGCCCTTTACCACCGGTCATCAAACCGCCCTTGTGAATTACAGTGCCATCGAGCGTGACGGCCTTGGCATCCACGTTTCTCTCATAGCAAAGATATTTGGCGGTCGCCAGATCATCGCACACGATTGCATTCCCGCATGCGTAGCTAATAGCTCTGGCAACCGAGTCATCATAGTCGACGGTCTCGATAGCCGGACGCATTCCGCGGTGGAGGCCCTTGAGGTTCGAGTTAAAGGCCTTGACCTGGATTGTCTCGAGTGGGATAAAGGTGGCCTGGCCGGCTCTTTGGTCGCGGAGGTGCTGAATGCACTCCTTAGCTGTCTTCTCATTGTCAACAACAATCGCGTCAAAGTGCCGACCCAAGACAGTGCCAACTGCCTCGGAGTACTTCTTCTGCTTGGGCTTGCAAAGGTCACTGACGCGGCCCTTGACTCCCGGGAAAATGCGCTTGAGGGTCGAAATCAGTTCCTTGGCTCTGATCTCTCTCTCAGACTGCTTCCTCCCATCATCTGCGTCCAGCAGTTTCTTCAGGACGACCTGCAACTTTTCTTCCAATTCCGTTCGCATCCGTGATACACGCAGGCGCTCAGAAGTCACAGCATTGAGTTCCTTCTTCTTGCGGTCAATCTCCTTGGAAGTTGTCTTGACTGTATCGTTGAGGGCGGTTTTGCGTTGGGCCAAGGTCTGCGTCTCAGATTCCAAGGTTTTGAATTGCCAATCAGCCCCTTCGAATTTGCTCTTGAGGCTGTTCAGGGCTTCGGCTTCGGTCTTCCGCTGACGGCGCAGGTTGTCGAGGTTCAGTTGCTCAGCAGACGATCTCTTACTGACCTCTTCCTTGAGCTTTTCGTACTCGTGCAAGTCAGCCTCACTCAGCTGGCCGCCCTGCTTGCTCATCGTGTTCTGCCATTCTGCCTCCCACTGAGCCCGCGCCTTCTCGACAACCTTGAGATCTTTCTCCAGCTGTTTCACATTCGCCGATTGGGTATCTTTTTCGCGGGTAATTTCTGCGATACGAGAAGCAAAGCGTTCGACCTTCTTCCTTGTGATATCGACCTTCTCATCAACGGGGACGAGGGCGTTGGCAGCCTCTTCAATGTCCTTCTCTTTCTTGACAATGTTCCTCTCCGCCTTGGCGACATCCCGACCGACCATGGCGTGGCTCTTCTTCGCGTCCTCGACATTCTTCTCGTACTTCTCAACACCGCGGCGGAACTCCTTCAGCTCATCCTGGTACTTCAAGATATCCGCACTGGATGCGTCGATCAGGCGCTGGAAATGGAAGAGCTTCCACAGAATGTGCGTGATGATCGCTTGATCGCGTTCCTCGGCCTTTCTGGCATAGTTCTCTGCTTCCCGCTTCTGTTCTTGGTACTGTTTGATCTCCGAGTTGATCCCGCGGCGGCGGTTCAGCTGCACGGTCTGTGATTCCGCAGCCTCCTCAGCCTCCGCTTTTAACCGTTCATACTCAGCCTTGTACTCCAAGCTGCCCGAGATCTGCTCGATCAGCCGCGTCAGGTCCTTGGGGGACTGCGATGCGATCGCCTCGACATCACCCTGGAAGACGAGGAAGTTGCGCGCTTTGATCAGGATGTTCTCGGCCTCGAGCGCCTCGTTGTACTGCTGCGCGGTGACCGCGCGGTTGTTGATGCGGTACTCGCTGACACCCCCGCTGGTGATCGACCGCCGCCATTGCTGTTCCTCGCCCGCATCGTCCTCGTACACCGCCATGACCCATGCGGTCCGGGGGTCATTCGATCCGGTCGGGTCCTGGGACTGTTCGCCGTCGATCTCGTCTTCGGGCTGCTCCTCCCCGTCCGCGGCTCCGTCGATGGCATTGCCGTTCGCATCCACCTTGGATGTACGCAGGACACGACCGCGGTAGACTAGGTCGCGGAGGTTCGTAGATCGCAGATGGGATGATTTGATACCGAGAACGAACGAGATCGCATCCATCCTGAGATTGATAGTCAGCATAAACTACCCCTTCGCGATGCGTGTTCCGCGGAGGTATTCATTCCGAGGTGGGTGGGAAAACGCACGAGTTCGATTTGCCGGACCCGTTGGGCCCGATGATGGAGGTGAAGTACGCATCGCCGAAGAGGAGGGTGTGGTGACCCTTGTAAGATTTGAAGTCTGATGTGGAGGTCAGTGGGCGGTATGGGGTGTCAATCAGATGAGGTTCTGCATACTAAAAAGCTCGAGTCGGATGAGCTTCCCCATTTTGCGACAGAGGGGTCGCGCGTTGCTGCGACCGCGCGAGAAGACGGATTCAGAAATGCAGATATCGGATGCAGAGGAAATGGAGGAGCTGCGCCCACCACGGAATGGGGAGAAGGCTGGATTAGCCCGGGCTGCACGGAGCAAGTGTGGAGGGGCTCGCGCAGCATTCACTACTTTGGTTATCTCGAAGTCGCGTCACGGACGGTTGATTGATTGGGGGGGCGGAAGACGCGCTGCGGAGAGGGTCACGTGGCTGTCATATTTACTTCCACCCAAGTCCCTTGTATCGACTCTAGTTACTACGCCTATCCTCTAGTTACTACGCTTATCTCTTTCTTGAAGGAAGATCTTGCTTAGTGCTAGTTTTGAATGCTAGTTTCTACAATATGTACATGGTAGTAGTAGGAGGCGGTGGGGCTAAGTAAGAATGCAGCAGCCCCAAAACATAAGCCCAGCGTATAGCAGTGACAAAGTAAGGAACAAAGGTTGAGTATTTGAGACATCAAGAGAAGAATATCGTACAGGTCGATAACTCACGTCTAGCGTCTCACAGTCACCGGGTTGCCAACGGACAAGAAGTCCTGCGAGACGTACCCAGCCGCATCCATGCGGAATTCACCCTTTTGACCATCCACTTCTATGAGGATAAAATCCTCGCCGGTGAACAGCTGACGAATCGCCCGAAATGTCTTGTAAAACATCATACTCATCTTCTTCAGCGGTTGTCTGAAGAAGCTCACTTGGGCGCTCTGCTGGATCGTGCTTCTCTTACTAGCGGCATCAGGGGAAATCACCAAACGACGGGCGAAGGCAACCTGGCGAGGCAGAGCGTCGAATTCATATGGTTTGCGGAATGGAATGAAGCTGCGAACCGTGAATCGAATGTAGGCCTCCCCATTCTTGTTGACAGCTTTGACGGTCCTGATCAACTTGTTCGTTTTGGCCATAAAGACAGTGCCCATCACACTCATCATGACACAGATACTTCCGAATGTTACCTTCTGCCACATGGGGAGAGGTGCGATCGGGTCGCGAAAGGTGATATTGCTGTTATACACCGAGTACGCGAAGCAAAAAGCCGTGATCCCGTAGGCACCTAGTACGTAGCTGCGGTGCGAGGGCGCTTGGAACAGCATCAGTTCTCCCTTGGATTCTTTTGCGACTTTGGCAGCTAATCGGCCTGAGCCCGCAGGCCGTCTGCCCGCGAATCTCAATGTATCTTCGGCCGGCTCCTGGGCTTTGGGCTGTGGTGCAGCGGGCTTCTTAGCCTTAACGGCAGCCTTTGCTCGCGGAGCACTGTACGAGAAAAATCGCCATACTGGACTTGAGGTCTGGAAATTCGAAGAGAAGGTACTCCGGGGACATTGCTGGGCGAATGCCCGGAAAGCAGAAGGTCGTGTAGCAAACATGATGGGTATAGTGTCGCGTTGGGAGCCTGGAATCAAGAGCGAAATAACAATTAGCATGCAGATCTAACTCCGGAGAGTCGAGAGAAATGCAATTGAGCTTACCTTCGACCAGCCACAGCAAGTCAGCGATTGAGCTGGTGAATGCGCAACTCCGTTTAAGCCCGTTGTTATCCGCGGCAGAAAAATGTTCCCGTCCGGGCCATCGGTGAGACTCCCAACAACCTCAACATCCCCGGACATTCACTCCTCCTTGTCGCAGCGCCATTGCCCCCGGCCCGAATGTCTTGCAGCTTCTGAACACAGATCGCGACCATCTAGACGACCTCGCCGAGCTCCTTGAACTCTATCATCATCGTGGTGGTGGGTTCCTAAGTGCGATCCTTGGTTTCCCGGGTTTCCCAGCTGCAGTGCCTCGCGACTTTCTCGAACACCACTTTATTATCTCCACCACTTGAGAATCGATTCGATTCCGACCTACCACAACAACAACAGAGATGGCCTCCAGCTTCCCTTTGCGCCGACTTCCGGCCGCTCTTGCCCGTCGCCAACCCCGGGTTATCAACACTTCGAAGCGTGAGTTTTCCGCCGACTCCGAAGGGGGGGGGAAAGAAAGAATATCACCATCGCCTCTTCTCCACCAGACACAACCAGCCTTCACTTCAGCCCTCATATCCAAGCACAAGCACAACCTCCACGAGCCCTCACCTCCCTCCGCTGCACACACACAGACACATACACCTCGCTAACAAACCCTTCCATCCACACTACAGGCCTGAACTCCACCTCCGCCGTGCAGTACCAGAACCCCGCCTACCCGCTCTACCCATCGGTCAGCAGCCTGCTGCACGAGAAGGGGATCCCGGAATCGGAGATCTCCAAGATCCCCGCCACGGGCCCCAAGGGCCGACTCCTGAAGGGCGACGTCCTCGCCTACCTGGGCAAGATCCCCGCCGAGTACCCGGCGACCCAAGCGGCGCGCTTCGCCAAGCTGGGCCAGCTGGACCTGAGCAACATCAAGATTGTCGCTGCTGAAGCCCCCAAGCCCGCCGAAGCTGAACCCACCCCCAAGCCTGCCGAAGCCCCCGTCTTCCGTCCACCTCCCACCACCCGCGTCGCCGTCCCCATCTCCCTGGCCGCCGTGCTGCACGCCCAGAAGCGCCTGCAGGACAAGCTGCACATCACCGTGCCGCTGTCGACCTTCCTGGAGCGCGCCACCGACCTCGCCAACGAGGACCTCCCCCGCTCCGTGCGCGAGCAGCTCACGGCGGACGAGCTCTTTGACGAGCTCGTCCTGGGCGCCGCCCCCGCCCGCACCTCCCGCGGCGAGTACTTCCCCGAGTTCAACGCCCAGGAGGCGGCAGCGGCAGCAGCAGCAGCAGCGGATGCCGTCGCCATCCCCAAAACCAAGTCCGTCACGGAGGATATCATCGACATTCTGGCCGGCAGTGGCAAGGCCGCCGCCAAGAAGGTGGTTTCCTCGGTTTCCTCGGTCACCGGCGCAGCGCCGGCCGCGGGCGCGGCCAACGTCTTCAGCTTGACGGTCCCCGTGGGCGATGAGAAGAGAGCTCAGGTTTTCTTGGACCGCGTCAAGTCGCTGTTGACGGTTGAGCCGGGCCGGCTTGTTCTATAGATCTGTTTTTTTTTCTTTTTTTTTTTTTCGCCTGCTATTTCTTTCTATTCATCCCCGTGCATGTCTCGTTTTGGAATGACGTTTCCTATTTTTTTTCGCCCCCATCTTGTAAGTACTGATAGCCCTAACGGGGAGGCCTTCTTTCTGCGTCTACTTTTCCGCAGCTAATGCTCGTCAAGTATAGCATACACACCACACACACCCACACACACATATACAACATTTACAACTCTCACAGGTAATGGAATGAAACCAAAGTGCATTTTGATGTGCTGGTAGTGAGCTGGAATTACCAAATATAGAAATCAAAAATATTCCTTCAAGATGCCAAATTTGACTGAGCTTGTGCGCTGAGTCGCCTGTAAATCACATCTAAGAAAAAGCTCATGGTGGTTGTATTGTCTTACGTAACATCTTCCCCGTCAGAGAGCTGCTATTCCTAGCTCATCATGCGCGGTATGAATAAATGCTTTGTTGGGCTTGCGGCTTGATCGCCAGCTCTTCATCGGTTGCCGATAACGGGGTAAGTAGTGAGAGGGAACAGAGAGATTCAAAGTATATCATGCCATTAGGATGAAGATGAGACAGCAATGGGAGAAGTAGGGGAGAGGGGCAACGCCTCGGTCTTGGTTTCACCTGAGAAACACCATGAGCGCCGCTGCTGAGAAAGAGACTTCATATCTTTGGGTCAAACTGGAACTGCGCTTGCTGGAACTCCAAGGCCCAAGGAAGGCCGCGAGAAAGGAAAATCAAGGGAATAAAGAATAAAGGGGAAGCCGTGGTAGTAGAATGGAAAGAAAAAAAGACATGGGCCAAAGTACATGTGGTGAGAATCAGATGAGGTCCAGTCAAGCGCGCGATGTGCATGCAGAAGGGGAAAACTTGCGATCGCCCATGTAAATGCCGTGAAAATCCACAAGATGCGAGAAATGCCAATAGGAAAACCGTGAGAAAATGACCATCCCCCAGACCGTCCAAGGACATGCCCAGCATCGAATAAACGCCAATGCCCTGGAACGCCGAATCTAATGCATTTCGGAAACTGCTAATAAATAGTCAAGCGTGACATAGCACAAAGGTTCAAGGGCGACTAGTAGCCGAGGCTCGAGGCTGTCACCGAATAGTACCCCATTCAGCCAGCTTACTGCCTTCACGACCGTGCTCTCTTCCTGGTCTTTTGTTGAAGATCTTCCAGAAACGTAAAGTCTCGTCGCCAGCACCAGTGACGACTGTTTGACCATCCGGACTCATAGCCAGGTAAAGTACACGGAAAGTATGCCCAGTCAAAGATACGATTTGCTCCATGCGGGGGTATTTCCAGATCACAATCTGGTTTTGACTATACCCATGGGTGCTGATAATCTCATCCGAGTTTTTCGACCACGCCAGGTTACAGACCTGGCTTCCTGTGTCAACCTCTTTGATTAAGGATCCTGTTGACGTGTTCCAGAACTTGATTGTTCGGTCCGCCGTTCCACCACCCGAGGCTAGGAGATGGTGTTGATGAGGCGACCAAGCAATTGCCTTGACTGCGGCCGTGTGGTCGGAGAAGCGATAGAGAGGAGTTTCGTTCAACTTGTCCCAGACCAACAATTTGTTGTCGTTACCGCCAGAAGCTAATTGGCCATCTTCCGTGTTCCACCTGAGACCACACACCTCTTGCTTATGACCGGACAAACGACGCAAGAATTGATCTGGCGAACGAACATCTCGGTGGAAAATCAGGCGATCTCGTGACCCTGAGGTCAGAATGTGGTCGTTCCAGGCTAACGCTCCGACACGGTTAGTGTGCCCGATCATCGTTCTTAGACGGCGACATCGCTCTGCGTCCCAGATTTGCACGAGTCCTTTGCCTGTCCCAATTGAAAGGTGAGTACCCTAAATTAACCGGAATTTGAGTCAGTATCGAAGGCTTCGGCTTGCTGAACATCTGACACCTACCCGTTGAATCCAGCTCACACTCGTGACAGTATCATCTTTCAGTTCACACAGTTTCGTAACCCTTCCAGTCTGCGAATTCCACATATAGACCGAATTACCTAGACCAACACCAAGAACATTACTGCTTCCCCAATCTACCAGATTCAGATAGAAGTCATCTTGTAAATCGGGTGCGTCAAGTACTTTGTACGGCACTTTGTTAACGTAGCGAGGCTGTTTGCGGGGTGTTTCTAATATCCGTTGGCTGTCGTATCGGATCGGGGAAAGGCTGTAGAGCTCTGACCGAACGTTCAGGTTCGGACCATGTTGACTTCGAGGAGTCTTAGATGGCGTCGGATGACCAGATCCAGCGCGTGAGGAGGCGTAGTTGAAAAGATTTTTATGGGGAGTGGACGGCGTTATACTGGCTGGGGGGAGGCTCGATACGACATGTGACGGAGGGGTATGAGAGCGAGTCTTGTCGTTAATTCCGTTCGCAAACCCCAGCAGCGGATCCGGCGATAATGATTCTAGATCTGCCTGAGGAACGGTGTTTCCGAAAAGCTCACTCCGCAAGACCCGTGAGTACATTCTGTTTGCTTCTTCGGCTGAGTGATCATTAGCCAAAGGGATCAGCGCCACACTTGTGTGCAAACTCACTCTTTTGAAAATGAAGCTCCGAATGAGGAGCGCGTTTCTTAGATTTGGAGGGAGTCGAGGGGCAGCCGTCTTCATGAAGGAGGCTGTAGGTTGCTTGCAGGTCTTGCCCCTCACGGTTGGGTATGAATCTATAAGGCGGCGTAGGCACGTTAGCAAGGAGCCCAAGGGATTGCTTCACAATATGACCGAAATGGCCGAGCTGATGTAGGAAGGTGCCAGAAGTGTGGTGCTACTGACCTGTCGCCGTATACTCGTTGCCTCTTCCGACTGGGGCTTGTGCCGGGTGTTCTCTCGCGAGGGTTTCCAGCGTCCTCGTAGTCCCTTAAAGCCTTCGCGAGCGCATCGGGATCGATCGCTTCTGAGGTGTTTCGACTCTTTTGTTGTCTCCCTTGCGATTCGGGGTAGAAGAGGGTCTTCTTTGCTGGCATACTAGGGGGGGTTCTTGAGCCAGGAGGGGATGCGATAGACAATGCGTTGGCAGCACGTTCCGGCGACTTCCCACTTCTTGCTGCGCTGCGGGTAGCAGGAGGATCAAACTTCCGGGGGTCGCCCATGGTTTCGAGGGAGGGGTGACCGATCCTCACGAGGTACAGTACAAATGGCGGTCGAAAGCGGGATCAAGTCAGGTAGGGTCAATGCGACAGATCCCCACGGTCGATGAGTCGCAAACGCAGCGAGATGCGAAGTCAAGTCAGAGGAACAGCGATTCTCGTAGGTCTATTATTGTATGGGTTGTTTATTTGGTCGATCAATCGGCGCTTCAAAGGTTCGTGGGGGGGAGGGGTGTGAGGTGAGAGTTGGAAGTGTTGACGACAACAGGCGAGCCCTTGTGCTCCGCTCCGGGTTCAATGAAACCAAATAAACTTGGGAAGTAGGCGGGCAGTGAGGATAACGGCGGCAAGGGAATGAAACAGACAGAGTCTCTCACCAGACCCAAGACTGAATTGATAGAATGGCACAAATTGTGGAGGTCATTTGAGATTGACCCGACCACTTTGGGTTGGTGAGAAAGAAAGAGGGAGAAGGGTTGAGACAAGATCAATCCAAGGAAGGGTTGGCTGGCTGGCTGGCTGGCTGGCTGGTTGGCAGCGGCGGCGGCGGCGATGGGCTTCCCTCCCTCTCTCTCTCTCCTCTCCCTCTCTCAGTCTCTGGGCTGTCTGTCGCTCGACCGTTCGAAGGGGATCTTTCCAGTGATCCACTGCACCCACCGCACTCAGTCACGCGTCGGGTGCGCTAAACCGGTTCTGGAACAACACAGGGAGGTTGGCCTGACGCTGCAGCTGTATTGACTTAGATGACGATGGCCCTTTCCTTGGAGAAAACAAAAGAAAAAATAAAGAACAAAAAGTCACTAGAGAATTGAAATTCATGCGAATGACTACCCTGATGAAAATAATCACTTTGCAATGATCCTGTAGTGGTCATTCATATATACAATGTCCTTTTGAGTAGGAGTGGGAGGGAAAGATGGGGAAGCCCCGTCTCTGTCTCCGTCATGTGTTGTTGGTCGCGCGGCTGCAGATGATGATTTAATTATTATTGTTTATCGCCTGCAAGTTGGTTACCACCGACTACTATCGACTTCCGATATCCTTCCTTTCCCCCACCACAACAAGATTATCGTACAATTTAAGTTGTAAGCATGGAGAGCAACATCCTAACTTCCAGTCAGTCAGTCAACGAGTCAATGAGTCAAGGTCGATAGATTTATCGCTTCTTTGTTGGAAGAAAAGACGACCTGATTTCGAAGTCATCGTCTTTTGTTGTTCATTGACGCGAAGCGCCGACCTGGTGATTGGATCAGGGCGACTGTTATCGAGCGTGCCAGGGCCACGAGCACCAGCAGCGCGACCGCCTCTCATTCCACGCGCCCTGCGAAAGAACGCGCCATGGGGGAAGCTTGGGCCAGTCCCTTCCTCCAACAGGAGACTTTTCGACCACAGAATCCCGATTATTTCATCCTGCAGTTAATCCCAGTCGCAGCATGAGTCTCTAACTGGACTTGCTCTTCCGTGTCACAACCGCCGCTTTAGTGGCGTTCAATTCCCCGTTTCGATGATGCAGTCGATCTAAGATAACTAGTACGGAGTAGATGGTCTACTACTACTAAGATAGTGCCTGGACCAAGAATCCGAGCCAACCCACTTGATCCGGTAGATCAGGGCAGATCCCAGTGAGTCAGCGAATGCTCAGGACTCCTTTGAGTCTAACTTCTTGCTTCTCGGACCATTCAATATCTCTGATCTTTGTCTCGAATGTTTCAGTGGCTTCTTATTCCTTGGCTTTTCTCGACGAGACACTAGAATTGACCTGATGCGATTAGCCAAATAAACCGAATCACATTGATTCAACATGCTGCCATGGCTGCCCATGATAATTCTTCGCTGGTCTACTCATCGCATACTATCGAGATTACAGTTTAAAAATGCAATGGAACGGTTATTTAACTTGTCCCAATATGGAGATTTTCATTCGAGGCTCTCATGAGCCTTGCGTCTGCCAATTCTGATCGGTCACAGAGCTGCTTCGCGGGTAATTCATGTACGCTAGATTAGCATTCAAGCTTTGCGCATGCAATTGATGCGATGCTCAACGAGGACCGACCAGCTGCTTCCACAGTTGCATTCTGCCGCCAGCCTGTTCCTTCCCTTCCCGAACTAAAGTGCACTTCCGTAGCTATTTCTCTTCAGCATACGGGCGCATTCAGACCATGCCTCAACATCACCTTGTTGAACCCATGATCCAACAGCGATGAGTGCCAACGAGGCATTGATCAAAGTAGCGATAATATTAGGGGCACTAGTGACCATCACCGCGTTAGGCATAGGCCTCTATTTTGTTGCTGCGGCTTTCAAGACAACTGAGTATGTGCTGTGCAGTCCTGCAAAGCTACGGAGTACCGTGCCCCAAACTAAGAGAGCTTCATCATAGTCCCCAAGTTGGTCTGCTCCCCATCCGCCGATAACAACTGGAAATGATAAAGTGGGCGGGCGGTCAGCGCGTATCACGTGGAGACGCGTTCCGACACGCTTTCAGGGCTCTCGCCGCCGTGTTCCCCGGGCATCCCAGAGTAGCGTCGGCACCCACCAGTCGAGTAGTATTCACCTCAACCTTCACCAATTGGAGATGGCTGCCAATTTCTTCAGCAACAAAGCCCGGGCTGCAGCTGCAGCTTCGGGTGCCTCCAAGCCAAAGCCAACGGATGGGAAGGATGAACAAGGTCGACAACAACCATGGGTTGAGAAATAGTAGGCGCTCTCCACCCAATGTGTCCTTAAATGCCTGTCACATTGACCACGAAATAGTCGCCCCAAGACTCTTGATGATGTCGCCGCACAAGATCACACCACCAAGGTTCTCCGACGCACATTGCAAGCTTCTAATGTACGACGACTTCCGAAATCTGTATCGTCGCCTAAGAGCCAGGAATACTGACGGGCGATCTCTAGCTCCCCCATATGCTTTTCTACGGCCCTCCCGGTACCGGAAAGACTTCCACGATTCTTGCTCTCGCAAAGTCGCTCTTTGGTCCTACTCTCTACCGCTCCCGCATCCTCGAATTGAACGCTTCCGATGAACGTGGTATTGGTATCGTGCGCGACAAAATCAAGAACTTTGCTCGTGCCCAACTCAGTCACTCAACAGGCATGGGCGCGGAATACCTTGCCAAATACCCGTGTCCTCCATTCAAGATCATCATTCTTGATGAGGCAGACAGTATGACCCAGGACGCGCAGTCCGCTCTTCGTCGCACCATGGAGCAGTACAGTCGGATCACCCGTTTCTGCTTAGTCTGTAACTATGTGACTCGTATCATCGAGCCACTGGCGAGTCGATGCAGCAAGTTCAGATTCAAGGCTCTGGACAACACGGCGGCGGGAGATCGGCTGGTCCAGATCGCCAAGCTGGAAAACTTGAGATTAGAAGAGGGTGTGGTTGACAAGCTGATCAGCTGTAGTGAAGGTGATCTGCGACGTGCGATCACCTATTTGCAAAGTGCGGCCAAGCTGGTCGGGACCGGTAGGGTCGAGAAGAAGGACGACGATGAAGATACGGAGATGGCAGATGGAAGCTCGGAATTGATCACTGTCAGGACCATCGAGGAGATCGCTGGTGTCGTACCTGAAAGTGTTTTGGATGATCTGACCCGGGCTCTCCAGCCGATGAAGGTCGGGTCATCTTATGATGCTGTTTCCAAGGTGGTTACGGACATCATTGCAGATGGATGGAGTGCCAGTCAGCTCCTTCTTCAGGTAATTCTATATTTCTTTTCTGAACGTCGGTTATGGAGTCTCAATACTAATCTGGTGCAGCTTTATCGGCGCATGATCTACAACGATGCTATTCCCGATATTCAGAAGAATAAGATCGTGACTGTCTTCTCGGAAATGGACCGTCGTCTGGTTGATGGGGCTGACGAGCACCTGACTATCCTTGACGTCGCACTCAAGATTTCTGGCATCTTAGGCGGCGCGTAGTCGTCGAAGACGGCCATACCACTACCTATTATTTTTCTCTAAGCTCTGAGCGACGTCATTCGATTGGCAGACCTCGCCGATAGTAGTGTCAAGAGGCTAATTGACGCGACTCATCATCATCCGAAGGATACAGAAGTTTACAGAATACTTCCTCACCAAAGCCACCAGACTCTGTCATCTTCTTTCATGCATCACTTCCTGTAGTACGGAAGTATACAGTGGAGCCGGTAGTCATGGGAAACAATCGGACGCGCGCGCAAAATCCAAATCTGCAACTTGGAGTGAAGCCAAGACTTACGACTGTATGAAATATAACGAACAAGTCAAAACATGCTTCTCTCTAACTCAATTTCCATGGGGACCCATGTAGGTGTAGGAACGTCATACACGGAGGGCATGCATGCATCCTTCCTTCATCGCCGGTTCCTCACGTGCGGCCCGCTTCGTGGCTCACCGACGAGCCGGACGAGAGCCGGACGAGAGCCGGAATAGAGTGTGCCGCATCAAGACTTCTTATGACTCAAATAATTTTTAGATTTTCGTTTTCTCCTTGCTCCAGTACATACGTTTGAGGCAGCAGCATATCGCGATATTGCAATAGACCCTTAGAGCACTGCATATAGACCGCCGTCCACCCTCATGGCTTCCTCCGAGTACCCCGCATCCACCCACACTCCCCGCTATTTGACTGGCGACGCGGCTGGCATCCGTGAGTTCATAGACAAGTTTGATGTGAGTGTCTTCAGTGGGACAGGTTGTGTTGGACTTGACAGAGGCTAATTTATCATCCAGGTGTTTTTGTTTGACTGCGATGGTACGTCCTCGCCATGAGTCCGATAGAACATCAGAGCTTCCGCGGTTCTGCACCAACAGCACCTACAGCAAAGGCCCGACTGACCCTCGATCTACAACTTAGGGGTTCTCTGGTCCGGGGACCACCTTTTCCCCGGCACTAACGAGACATTAGAACTGTTGAGAAGCAAAGGTATGATATTTTCAGGGGGCATGCGCTGCTCGCAGACAAGCTAATCCCCCCTTTCGTGTGCCAGGCAAACAAGTGGTCTTCGTGACGAACAACAGCACCAAGTCGCGCGCTGACTACGTGAAGAAGCTCGATGGGCTGGGCATTCCCAGCACAACGGTACGTTTTCCAACCCCATCCCCAGCCAGCCAGCCAGCCATATTCCCTCAACCCCCAAACCCTCTACATCCCACACCCCACCACTAACCCGTCCCCCCTTCACGACACAGGAAGAAATCTTCTCCTCCTCCTACAGCGCCTCAATCTACATCTCACGCATCCTCTCCCTCCCGCCCAACAAACGCAAAGTCTTCGTCATCGGCGAAACCGGCATCGAGCAAGAACTCCGCGCCGAGAACGTCCCCTTCCTCGGCGGCACCGACCCGACCTACCGCCGCGAGATCACGCCGGAGGATTACAAGAAAATCGCCGCCGGCGACCCCAGCCTCCTCGACCCGGAGGTTGGGGTGGTGCTGGTCGGCCTCGACTTCCATGTGAACTACCTCAAGCTGGCGCTGGCGTTCCACTACATCCGTCGGGGCGCGGTGTTCCTGGCTACGAATATCGATTCGACGCTGCCGAATGCGGGGACGTTGTTCCCCGGCGCGGGGTCGATGAGTGCGCCGTTGATCATGATGTTGGGGGGCCAGGAGCCCGTGTCGTTGGGGAAGCCGAACCAGGCGATGATGGATGCGATCGAGGGCAAGTTTCGGTTTGACCGGGAGAGGGCGTGTATGGTGGGGGATCGCGCGAATACGGATATCCGGTTTGGGGTTGAGGGGAAGCTGGGGGGCACGCTGGCGGTTTTGACGGGGGTGAGTAGTGAGGAGGACTTTTTGCGGGGGGAGGTCAGGCCGGCGGCTTATTTGGATCGGTTGGCGGATTTGCTGGGGTGTGAGTGATTCAATTTAGGGTTTGTTCCTGGGTGGGATGGGAATGGGGAATATTTTGAATTGAGAGGGTCTAAGGCTTGGGGGGGATGGAACCTATTGACGTAACCCGGGGTAGTTACTACCTTATTTTGGACAACCGGAAGGGGGGTGGGTTGTGATAGGTTTTGGCTCCTCTCTTCCCGTCTTGTGTACGGGTTTAGGTTGCATAGATTATAGAATACAGGAGATATTCCCCCACCAGCCTTCGTGAATCTCCGCTATATACATATGGTGTGGCAGGGTGCGTAGGGTTGCGGCGGATGTAAAGCATGATTTATCAGGATTCAGGCTCAAGGTCCTGGTGCGGATCAAGATGCGGATCAAGATGCGGATCATCTCTCAATAGCCCCGCCAGCTTCCACAAGCCCAGCATCGCATTGACCGTGGGCTTGTCGTCCGGTCGAAAGAACACCGCCGCCTGGCCCTGGAATTTGCCACACGCGAGAAGATCCTCCTCGGCCAGCAACCGCGTCATATCGAACACGGGCACCTTGGAATCCGTCTGCGGCAGATGGAAGAAGCCCGACAGGGGCAGCTGAGGCGAGTCGGTGCGCCGCAGCACCAGCACCGCACCCGTCTCCATGCGCGCGATGGGCTCCACCTTCGCCAGCGCATCGACTAGCGCCTCCTCGGCGATGCGCGCGGCCCCATCTCCCTCCTGGTCCAGGTCCAGGTCCTGGTCCACCTCCTCCAGCGGCAGCACCGAGGTCCAGACCTGCCGCTTGGGCGAGTCGTTCGACTGCGTCGCGGCCCTCCGCAGCCGCTGGCCCACCTCGCGCCGCATCATCCGCGTCACGAACTGCGGCATGTCCTGGCGCCAGACGCACGACGCCATCATCGAGTCCGTCATCGGCCCCAGCGGCGGCCGCCAGCGAATCGGGAACGCGAGCGCGATGGCCGGGATCCTCCTGTTGGACCTTCGCGAAGTCTCCGTCACCGTGTTCAGGAGCGTGAGTCGGTTGACCATCCGGAACCGCAGGTGACGGATCGCTTGGGAGGTCCGCTGCGTCTTCTTCGGTTGATCTGTCGAAGAAGAAGATGACGATGATGATGATGACGACGACGGCGATGAAGCGGGTTCGGGCACGGTCACCGGTGGTAGGATCTCGGATGGATGGATGAAGAGACTCTTGCCCTCGGGGTGTTCCTCGAGACCCCAGCCGGTCATGAACTCCGTCGGCATGCGGAGCCCCGTCAGCGAGCATTGGCGGATCGGCGTGGCTAGCGCCACGGCCCAGGGGTTCGTGGAGAGATCATCTTTGGGGTGCGATGGTTTGCCGCGGGCTTTCTTCTTGTGCAGGCGCTCGTAGCCGGGTTTCGGGTCGGTGAGTAACGGGGATTTGGGGAGGAGGGAGGACGGCCGGGGGGACTTTTGGGCTCGAGGTTCTCGGGGCGGTTTGGCAGGTGTTTCTTTAGTAGCGGTATCTGCTGAGTGCGGAGGTGGGGGTTCAAGCTCGTCGGTCGAGGTGGATAAAGTGCGTATGCGGTGGTTGTGGTGCTGAGACGGAATTGGGCCATGAATGGTGGCGGTGGTGGTACTATTGTTGACTAATTGACGAAATTGCCTCAAGCGCCATGACGCATAGGATATTCGACCGTAGAGACACTCCATTGTCTCCTTTGGTGGAGGTGGTGGATGGCGCGGCGAGCAGCTGGAACGGGAGCGGTTGTCGGTGGAGAGAGAAAGACGAGTAGAAAAACCCGCGGAGGTTTGGACGTTGACCGACGCCCGGCGCGCAAAGGCGGAGTCCTGCTGCTGCTGCTGCTGCTGCGACAGTCTTACACCACTCGTCCGACCATCACCCCTCCGACCATCGCCTCCATCTTGCCATTACCTGCCTACCCGCTTTGAATTTGCAAGCAACACCTTCACAATGAATCCAGCTCGTCCCCTGCAGCGAGCGAGTCGTATATTGAGCCGCCCGTCGGCCATCCCGGCCCTGTCGCGGAGCTTCACCAGCTCCATCCCGTCGCGATCACCACTACCAGCTTCATCGACGGCCCAACCTGCGCGAGGATGGACGCCCACGCCGTTTGTCACAGAGACGGTGGTAAGTTTGAATTTCCCATCAATCTGTCAACCAACCCCCCCAAAAAAAGCTCACTAACAAACCATCAGGGCGGAGGCTGGCACACATGTACGTTATACTCAATCCATGCATCAGCTCACTCAAATCAAGCCCACACCACCACCACCACCCCTACCACCACAAACCAACCCAACTAATTCCCGCCCAACGCAGACGACATCTTCTCGCGCCTCCTCAAAGAGCGCATCATCTGCCTGAACGGCGAAGTCGACGAAACCATGTCCGCCTCCATCGTCGCCCAACTTCTGTTTCTGGAAGCCGATAACCCCCAAAAGCCCATCCACCTGTACATCAACTCCCCCGGGGGGTCGGTCACGGCCGGTATGTGTCTACGTACCCCCAATGACAATGCCTACCAAACCCCCACACTAATCATCCGAGACAAAAGGCCTAGCGATCTACGACACAATGACCTACATCGCCAGCCCCGTCTCCACGATCTGCGTGGGCCAAGCGGCGTCCATGGGCTCGCTGCTCCTGTGCGGCGGCCACCCGGGCAAACGATACTGCCTGCCGCACTCGTCGATCATGATCCACCAACCGTCCGGCGGGTACTTCGGGCAGGCCAGCGACATCGCGATCCACGCCAAGGAGATCCTGCGCGTGCGCAGCCAGCTCAACAAGATCTACCAGCGGCATCTGACGGGCAAGAAGGTGCTGTCGCTGGATGAGATTGAGAAGCTGATGGAGCGGGATTACTTCATGGGGGCGAAGGAGGCGCTGGAGATGGGGATTGTGGATGAAATTTTGGATCGGAGGCCCGGTGGTGGGCCCAAGGAAAGTGGTGGTGGTGGTGGTGGAGAGGCGAAGGGGGATGGGAATGGGAATGGGAATGGTGGGGAGGAGTAGGTACTAGGTGATTAGGCCGGGTTAGGGTTTGGGTTGGTTATAGCTGGTTTTCTTCCTTCTGAGTGGAAGGCGAAGAGGGAAGGGGGTTGAGGTTGATGTTTATACATACCCTGGGTTGATTGTCTTTTTCTACTTTGTGTTTTTGTGGTTGTACCTTCGATGTGATGCTGACGATCATATACTGATGATGACGAAGAGCTTGGAGATAGAAACTCCACTCCATTCCACTCCACTCCGCCCAGCCTTTCCTGCTTGACTGCCATGTCAGATATTAGACAATAACTTACTCATAATGCACTACCCCTGACACTTCATCCACGTTCTCACAGGGTTAACAAATAGAGTTAGTATATTATGACCTATTCTATGCCTATACAGTACAGCAGAACCCCCGCATCTACACCAGCCAAAGCAACCCTCTCTTCTAAGCACTGACAATGCCATTGGCATCGGGAGCGGGATTGGGGTTATTGGCAGTAGCCGTGGCAGTGGCAGTGGCAGGAGTCTGCGCATTCCGCTCCGTCGACCGCCCATTCATTGCATCCCGGAACCCAGCCATGAACGCCGCCGCCTGCTGCGGATTCGCGAACCGCAACGAACTCCGCCCCGTCGTCGCCGGAGTGTACCGCCACTGCTCGCGGACCACATCCACCAGCCCCACGTCCATGATCACCGCCTGGCCCGAGGCGAACCGATCCAAGGGGTGACCATCCTTCGCCGCGGCCGTGCTGCGTCCCAGGTCCAGGCCCGTCTCCGTCGGGTCGGCCAGCAACTCGGTCCGTTCGTCGATCATAGTGTTATGGTCATGGTCATGATCCTCAGCTCGTTCCTGCCTCGAAGGCTGTCCACTGACCGGGACCTGAGTCGTCTGGTCATCTGTAGAAGTAGTACCTGTGGCCGCACCCCGAAGAACACCCCGCTCTTCGGAATCGTGGTCCTGGCCCATCCCATTGATGATAGCACTTAGAATATTACTTCTTGAGCCTTGCCCGGTCGCCGTACCGATCAATCCCTGCTGCTGCTGCGCCTCCACAGACTTGACCCTCTCCACCACCAGCCCCAACATCACCAAATCCAGGAGTAGAACCAGCACATCCATCGACAGCAGCCGGGCCAGCGGGACGGGCGCCTTCTGGCCGATGAAGTCGATGAACAAGCCCCCGTGGATATACCCGCGGGTTTCCTCGCCGGCTTCCGGCGCGGCGAACAGCGTATGGCAGAGCATGCAGAACAGATTACTCAGGAAGATGGCGCCGACGTAGGGCTGGTTCCGAGTCGGGTCGAAGGGCGGGGCTTTCGGGGTGAAGAAGATGAGCTGCACGATGGCGCGGAGGGCGAAGAGGATGATGGAGCAACTGCCAACCCACAAAATTATAGTCTGTTAATAAATGAATACTGGGGCGGGGTTTTTGTTGGGTTGGGGTCGGATGTAATAATATGTTGGATCTACAAATGACGACGGCAAAAAGAGATATGGGGCCAAATTGCTCACTCCATATAATACAGCGCTGACAGCTCGCAGTAGATGAGGATATCGAGATCGCGGAGCAGCCGATCGATGAAGGCTACCTTGGCGGTGGATTGGATCTTTTTCATGCGCTCATCGTAATTGCCGTTGCTGCCGGTGGTGCTGCCGCTGCTGGACGGAGGTCCGGCGACGAGGCCGGGCGATAAGCCGGACACGTCAGCGAGGTATTCCGCATCTCGATACACATCTGGAGTGGTCATAGAGGGTCATGAGGACATGGATGATGAGATCGGAGAGTTAAGAAGGTGGGAGGGTGTTTTAAGGGTGGAAGGATGAAGGTAAGGGAAGTGAGGTTCACGCTGACGGTTAATCAGTTAGTTAATCAGGAGAAGTGGAGTGGAGGGCGGAAAGCGGAGGCGGAGAAGGACCAGGCAGCTGCGTCAGGCGATGGCGGGTCTTCCTCGGTCCGACGGAGCTGAGGCTACTAACTACAGTAAGTCACTCAAAACACAACAACATTTAGCGCTGAGCCGCACTACAACACTAGCTGACTCGGGAATGACAATGAGGTATCTCTTATGAAAAGGCTATACTATCGACTGTTGTCGACTTACTCTAATCCACGAAAATCGTCTTGGAGAGGTCGGCGTAGTGCTTGAAGAAGCTCGTGAACAGCCGGATGGAATGGCCGACATCATATGTACCTCCAGTCTCGCGGATACTGTGCATGCTGAGCTGAGGGTTGCCCAGATCCAGAGTACGGGCTCCCAGCTTGGCTGACATCATGGGACCA